GCTGGGAAAGAGAGATCACCGTTATCAGAGGTCTGAATTGCTTGGAACTTAAAGATTTGGGCTGAAGGTGGCCTTCCCTTTTTCTGGAGGGCTAGCAGAAATAACGTTTAACTTTAAGGGGGCCTCCGCTCTCAGTGCTGTTGGGATGTGCAATGGGGTGAATGGAAGGGAATGCGTCTGACCTGGCACTCTGCTCTGAGTAAACATGCTGTCTTTTGTAAGAAAGCCAATCCGTGCTATGAGGCCCACTAAATCTGTGACCCCTGTTTGAAATACAAAGAGTATTTAATTTTAATAAACTATAAACATTCGGTAAATAGGTGCTTTTAATGTATTAGCAGGCAAATCATAGCTTTACTTAACCTACACAGCTATTTATTAGGAGAATTAAGAAATACACATTTGCCAAGAATAAAAAACAGATACAATTTCATGTTCTGGGGTAGGATTTCCAGAAATACAAAATTTAGTTGAAAGGACTTGCTGCTTGCTTCCCTACTGAGTGTGGAATTCCAGAATTAATGGAAGAATGGCTTGTTTGCATGCAATCTGTTTAGTGTTCAATACCAATTTTAGAACTAGAATTCAAATTAGACTTAAGCTTGTATTTATCCTCTTGCAGAGGGTTTCCACTTTCTTTTGTTCTGAGGTTGCTTATGCTTGCTTTTTATGGAACTGCACAGGTCTTTTCTGTCTTTCCCCCATTTTCTCTGCTGCTTTTCACTTGGTTCACTCTAAGGATAACAAACCAGCAAGAAACTGTCATGGCTTTGTGATAGATACTTGAAGTACAGAGATTGACTTGGCCATAACATTATTTTTGAAATTGTCCTTAATGCCAAGAGATTTTGCATATAACAGTATGTTTTCCAATGTATTCATGAATACTGCAATTATTTTGCAGGAGCAAGTCCTCTGTCCTGGGGGGAGAAGGGCATTCAGTGGCAAAAAAGCTTGCAAAGATAATGCAATTTGGGGAAAATAAGAAGCCTTCCAGATGTCTGCATTTTTCCATGACTCTGCTCAACAATTGCAGGGGGGAAGAGTTGATTACAACCACAAGGGCAGACTAAAATCTAAATAGAGAACCATAGTCCTTCTAGAGTAGGTTGATGTGGTTTCAAGGGTATGAAGGACAAATGGAAACTAACGAAACTGATTTGTCTCTGTAGAAGTAAAAGTTAGCAGATTGTTCTCCTTGTTGAGTATTATAAACCTGATGGAGATAGCAAGTGTTATTGGCCATTACTGGTGATCATAATTTAGCATATTTAGTTATAGAGCGCAGCAAAGACGGAGATCAAGCAGTGTTAGAAAATTATGGTAGGATACAGTAGTGCTTCTCTCAGATTTATATGCATCTCTTACTTTAATAAATGTTCCATAATGTTACTCTGGATCTAGGTGCTTGTTTTTGTAGGAAGTTCTAATAAAAATATAATGTATAAAGCAAAAATACTTCCTCATTTTATTGTACCATGTAATACTCCAGCAAATAGTAATTTTGTGATACAATTTATCTTGAGACATTGCAGTAAGCTCTTAATTATTTAGCAATGACCAATTTGCAAGAAAAGATTGAAAGTGCTCTTAGTGAATAAATAGGTTTGAAGGCCATTGGAACTGAGCTGGGTAGCTTGCTTGGGATAGAACAATGCATGTTCACCCAAGACTATATGAGAACATTTCTGAATGGTTAACTGGATTCTTTTTTCAACTTAGAAAGGAATATTTTACAGGAGGAGCATTTCAGTGATATATTTAGCCCTTGACTACAGCTGGGGGGAGGACAGGTCACTAAATGTTTGTTTTAACTGAAAGCAATGGAGATATTTAATACAATATATGTAAATTATAGTAAGAGGATACTTTGGTTGTTTGCTCTCAGAAATTTATATTATATTCAGATTTCAAACATTGTTCCCTATTGTTATAATTGTATCTCTTAATCATAAACTGCTCTAATCATCACTGTATATATTTTACAAAAATATCCACAAAACTCTCATAAATACTTTTGTAGTACTTAAAGCATATATGTTTGTGTTTATCACAAGAGTCTGTTTTAAAGCCTATTAAAAGCAGAGCCTACAGGGATCATGTTGGGCCACTGCCAGAGAGAGGTTGGTTCATTCGGACTGGTCATCAGGCAACGGTGCATATTTTCAGTCTTACATACCTTACAGGGCAATTATGGAGATACATTCTTTCTCCTCTTCATATTTTATTTTATTTTAAACCCGTAACAATTCAGCATGTTTACTTACTATAAGACAGAACCCCCCAAATCATCTGCAGTGTTAAAAATAATTTCCCCCCCAAAGGACTTCTCATGCATTTTTCAGAGAGGAATGGTTTCAGTATCAGAGTCCTAACTTCCATTTTGATGAATAATAATTTTTAGTGATACATTTGGCTTACTTTCTTTTTCCCCTTAAGGTCAGAATAATTATTTTTGTTTGTGCTTCCTTCAAATATTGCAGCTTGTTAACCTAGCTTGGTTGAAAATATGCTGTCTCACAAGCTCTAGACTGGGCTTAGAAACACAGTGAGGTTTGCAAATCTTAGAAGAAAAAAGAACCCTTTCTATCCGCATCCTTCATTGAGGCTAACAGAGAAAAAGAAAGTAAATGTTGAGCTCTTCTTTATTGTATTTCAATTAAAATATCCCCTTATTAATTGGTGGAACATAATCCCCTTTGGCTCTGCTAATTCTTCCTTGTTTTGTTCTACAAGCATTTGTTTTATGTTATGAGAAGAGATAATTTGTACTTAATGACTCACACTTAATCAAATGACTTGAGACTTCAGGATGTAAATCAGATCATTGTGAATGAGTTGATACGTTTCTGCACTCTCAGTCATGCAATGAATATATACAGTATGCTGAAATAATAAGACGCATGAGTTAAAGCTTAAATGCTTAAAATACGGATTCCCCTCACAATTACTCTTAATTCTTCTGTCACTCAAAAGACTTTATTTTGCTATCTCCATCAAACTGTCTTTTTTTTTTTTTTAATGACTCAGTCTGTCAGATTTTGGTCCATTTATTTTTGCTGTTTCTAAAATTGTTTTTGAAACAGACTCCCAATTCTTTTGCAAGGTAAGTATATTTCCTATGAGAAGTATCAACCCCTAGAAGATAATATAAGGCTGGGCTGGAGCTAAATTTTCTAAAATGATGGCAGAATTATTTTTACAAAGAAAAATAGTCTTTTTCATGTCCAATTAATCTCCTCTTGGCTTCTCTTTAGCATCAGATAATAGCCAGCGATTTCGGGAAACCTGCTTTGCATTTGCCCTGACTCCACAGCAAGTGCAGCAAATCAGCAGTTCCATGTAAGTGGTTATAACATCATTTCAGCACAATACTTCTGATTTCCAAAATGTGGTAAACTTTTTAAGAGGTGTGTTTAACATTAAAACTGTTTAGGTTTTAGCATTCATAATGAGGGTGAGGTGGTCTTGGGGCATCATAGAAGTGCAGTGTAAAGCTCTAATATTTAAGGAGCAGCTTTGTGGAATGAGCAAAGAGGTTTGGAGGTGGAACTAGGTGGGAGGAATTTTAGACAGAATGTGCATAGGCATCGTTTTCTGTAAACTGCCCAGAGTAATTTGTTAATGAGATGGGCGGTGACAAATAAAATAAAAAAATTAAAAATGATAGAAATTTGGAAAATAACTTAATTTGAAGACTCTGGTTCTGAATTATTGGAGATTTGGATTCAGCAGGAGCCCATCTAGAGGATGTGCTCCTGAACATAAGCAGCGTGCTGAAGAATACTGAGAAATTGTTGCAGAACATCCCATTTAAAAAGTTGCAGACTTTTTAAACGTAAGCCATTCATAATATAGTTGTCTTGGGCGCAGAGTATGGGCTTATCCCAGCTGTTAATGAATGGTAACAGGCTAAGCATTATGTTTATTTGAAGTAAAAAAGATTAAAATGTATGTCATTTCTATCTAAACTACATCTTGAAGAGAGGAAAGCAAGAAAGAGAAAGCGGAGTTGCCTTTGGCTCTTAAATACAAAAACTGTTCAACTAACCATAGATAAGGAGAGAAACAGATGGAGGGACACAGACCCTTATTTACTCTTGTTTACCTCTTGCCATTTGCCCTACTGGTCCAAAGAGTCGATGCAGTCTCCAGTGCTTCTGTCACCCACTTGCAACTCCCATCTTCTCTCAAAGTATCTGGAACTGCTCCCAGGTTCGTGCCTTGGTCACTGCATTAGTCACCATTGGTTCTGCAGCACAGTGCTGCACATTGATTAAGTCCTTGCTCTTGTACATCCCACTTAGCATGAATGTTCTTTACTCTTAAACTAATCCTTTCTTTTTGTAAAAATTGAATATAGGTTTTATGTCTTTAAAGATTGCTATAGGCATGGGTTCAGTAACTTCAAATCCTGTAGCAATTTATAAATTCACCTGGTGTCAGCGCTTCATTTACACCTGGCTTTGTGACTGGCATCACTAATTAAAACATACTCAGCCCCAGTGGAGAACAGTGTATTGTAGCTTGCTTTCTGCTGGACTGATTGGTCTACTGTAATCAAGGAACAAGTACTAGTGTGTAGATTTGCAGTCAGCTCTACCTTTGGTCCAGTCTGTGTCCAGTTAGTTCAGAGCTGCTGCTTGCTGGCAGTTTTAACTTCAAATCAGCAGTGCCTTTCTTGCACCAGGTAGTTCTACAAGTTGCCGTTTATAAAGGGACGCTACCTCTTACTTGCTGCTGCTTTCCATTTCATGAGCTGGCAGCTTTGGGGTATCTTCCCCACATCTCTGACTCCTACGTCCCTTTCCTCTTAACAGGTGGTGGGGGGTTGGGTCCCTTTGCTAGGTCTCTGTGAACGCCTTAACTGTGGCTCATGCTCCACTAAGTATATGTTGTAACTTCTCCTTCTGCAGCCTGTACCACCTCAGCTGACACTCAGAAGTCCTGTTTTGAAATTGACTGTAAGGCTGATGTGAAACTAGAAAGGAGGATTGCTGTGGAGGGATTGGCTGCTGGTGGTTACTAGGTTCAGATCCTGATTCTTTACTTCAGCTGGCCTTACTCTGCCATCAGAGTAAACCATACACATTGTTTTCGTCTTTCCCATGGACGATCCAGGCTCCTGTAGCTTTTTGTGCTGGTTGCATATCCAGTCATAATGCCCCGTTCAATTCTACAGTCCAGCTTCTTGTTTTTCGCTTTGAGAAGGCAAGCATATCCTTTAGATCAAAGCATTCTAATGTGATCTAAACTGGGTTTTCTGTTGAACCGCAGTTCATGAGGAGTGCCTTTTTAAAAAAAAATTGTGGGTAGTCTGTTTTGGATGTAGTTAGCTGTTGAAATAATCTCTCCCCACCATTTTTGATTGGGCCCTGACTCAGTTTGCATAGTTCAACATATGTCCAACAGTCAACAGTTCTTTGTTACTGCTAATCCATTTTCTTCTGGTATAAAGGTAATATATTTCTTATCAATAATCCCATTTTCCTTTAAGTAATCATAGATTTGTCCACTTATAAATTCAAATCCATTATCCAAAACTGCTTTCTTTTCAGATTTATTTCTTACATAAGCAACAAATTGCCTGAATTTGTTGAACTCTTCCCCCTAGTGCCTTATCAGATAGAAACAACAAAAATAATATGCTTCAACCAAGAAATTACAGATACCCGTTTTCTCCATTTGACTCAGTGGTCAGGGTATCAGAGAGCATTATACATTTTCTTAGCCACTTGCCTTGCTGCTGTGCTGCATATTCTAGATTTTCCATGCTGGCTACATTTTTTGTATGTGATTTTTGAGGATATTTCCCATATATACACATAAAGCAGCACTGATTGGCAGATTTGCAGTTGCGGTTTTGAAATTTATGACCAGTTCTTCCCTTTGTTTCTGCCTGGTTTGCTTTATATTCCAGTGGTCTAGTTTTTGTGCCAGAATTCAGTGCAGTTTCTCCATGTACATTGTTATATGAGCTTTACAAGCTCAGCTGATTTTCTCTTATCAGAATTCTCAGCCCCCTGGGGAATCCAATCAACAATGAATCTCCAACCTTACTTGTATTTGAACAACCTCCCTCAACAAATCCCACTCAGTGTCCCTTGATGACTGTATAACTAACACCTAGTAAATTGGAGTCCAAATGTGGAGGGTACAGTGCATTCTTAACATGCAAAGCAATTGCCTCTTCATCACTCAGTGTGCCTTGCAAACTTCCTTGCCACTACAATCTGTCTTTTGCAGCTTCTGTCAAGATCAACACAAAAACCTTTATTTTTAAACTGTGGAGCAGTTGCTCCTCTATCCAGGTAAACTGGATTCTGGTTGCCACCAGAATCTCTGATGGGCTCTATCAGTAAGATTTCTCTGGAACATCCCCTTCTTTTTCTGAGAATGCAATCATTTCCCACCCTCTGGGCTCCACCTTCTTCTCCAGCCTTTTCCCATCCTGGCCATTTCTCCTTCCCTTGAGCAGGAAACTTCTTGGTTAGTTCTCTTGCTGTTTGCATCTCTAAAATACTGTACAGTTTTTGTTTCTTTGTGGGTAAGATGCCCTTTGGTCTTTTCTACTTTTGCAGATTAAACAGGGTTTTTCCTTAGATTTCAAAATAGAGGTTTCTGTTTGTTCAGCTAGTTTCTGTTCCCATTTGAGATTCCTGCTCATATATTTTGGTACATTAAAATGTTGGAGCAGAAGCAGCAGAAGGAAAGCAACCGTAACTTCATCTTGCAACTGTATGCCATTATTTTTAAGCAGCTTCCTCAGGTCAGGGTTTTGGCTCATGTGGTATGAGGTGCTTGTGCCATCCTGCATTCTTAAAGAGTGCCTTCTTTCCATAAGACACGCGATAGGGCCTATGGTCTTTGCATGGCAAATTCTCTTTAATTTCCCCCAGATCTTTCTTGCATTGCTCACTTCTGCTGATACGGATAAGCACATGGCTACTTACATATCCAGAGATATGTGCACAACCTTTCTGATTTTGGCTATTCCAAGCTCTTTGTTCCTCAAGTCCAGAGGGTTTTGTGTTTCCATAATCCAGTGGTTTTCAAGAATATGATAGGCCCATTCTTCCCAATCCTGGCTTTTGAAGATAAAAAGGTTTGGGGGCACATGGCCTTTGCTGCCCCATTTCAGATGCTTGTCAAGGGCTAACAACAACCAGACAAAAAGTCCTTGCTGTCTAACTGGCCTTTCTACACTTGCTTTGCCAATCCTGGGATCTCTGTGCTTACTTTTGTAATTTTTCCTCTTAGTTACCCAGCAGTTCACAAATGTGGGCCACTTATGGTACCACAAATGCAATCAAAACCCTATTTGACCCCAAGCATGGTCATGCTATTGTATGCAGACTCTTTTGCAAGTCAATATATTGTTGCCCACATTCCACTACTAACTGGGAGGCACATGAGTGTACTGACCGACATTCAGGGTATGTGCATTTTCATAATTCAAAATTATGCAGGAAGCATATAAATGCTCTTTGTCAATGAGTTCTGTTCAGAAGTGGGCAGGGGTGTTGAGCAGGGAGGATGGAGCCTGGACCTGGTAGACGTTGCAGTTTGCAGTGCGTTGGATGGTGTGTAAGCATAGTTTGGTGGTGGCATATTCTGTTTCAAGCTTTACGTGTTTAAATTATGTAATGGATTATTTTAATGAACTGCATTTAATCAGTGTCTAATGTCTTTGTTAGGGACATTTCTGGAACCAAATGTGATTTCACTGTGCAGGTCCAGTTAAGGTAATTATTTTTCCTATAATCCAATTACAATATGGTGCTTCCCTTCTCCCTCACACATTCTGTACCAAATATCATGTCTACAACCTGCTTAAATTATGCAAACGGATAGTAAACATGCACATAGATGCTTCCTTTACATAATTTTATTCTATTTCCCTTATCTTTTTCTCTTCTACCCTATAGCATAAGCCCGTCTTCCCAAATCTTAGCCTGTCCAGTTGTTCTGGACTGTCTAATCATCTTCAGTCTATACATCGTGTCTATTCTAGCTGGGGATACTTAGTCCAGTGGGTCTGAAGGACACCGAACTGCGGAAAAGAAGATAAAACACTATTGCTTCATCTGTTGCTTTTACTTGCCTGTAGCAGAGAAATTGGGTATTTCTTTGATTAATCTTATCATTATCTGCAGGGCTTGCATCTGCACAGGCTGTCTCTACCTTAAAGAAGAGGATGTATGAGCAATTGAGAGTGTTTAATGCAGTTCAGTGGCTATTTTTAAATTAGCACTTAGTTGCAGTGATAGAGTTTTTCTGTAAACTATTTTGTACTTAATTCTTTGCATAGCAATTTTAACATTTAAATCCATGCTAAAGTTTCAAACTCAGTATAAAAGAAGGTGGCTAAGCAAAGATCTAACCATAACCCACCTTTCTTCCCTTGATTTGCCCACTGTAAGTTAGTTTATTTATTGGTTTATAATTAAGTGCAGGTAGTCCTTGTTTAGTGATTGCCTCGTTTAGTGACTGTTTGCAGTTATGATGGTGATGAAAAAGTAAGTTATGACCAATCGTAGCATTTACAACCCTTGCAGGTCTGTAAAGCAAAGGAAAGCTGAAGTAAGATCATAAGCACAGTTGTGGTTTCCCTTAGTGACTGCTTCGGTTAACAACTGAGTTGCTGGTCCCAAGTATGGTAACTAAATGAGGACTACTTGTATGTGGTTTGTAACCACTTTGTCCTCTTAACTAATATTTGTGAGAAGCTGGAAACCTGCTGCCCCATGAATTCTGCAGGCAGAATTATGTCCCTTGAGATCTGACTTCTGTTTTGCCAACATCTTGGATTGGCACTATCTCAGACCCTAGAGGAGACTCCAGCTCATGTTGTGTTGAAAAATAAGCATTGACAAGGAATACTTGATTGTAAGCAGAGTGGAGCCAAACTCTAAGCTGGAGAATCTCACTTAAGGATGAACTGATGCAGCAGCAGAGATGAGAACCAAAGAATGGGAGAGACACTTGGGTTTCCTTATTTATAAAACTTGGTTGGTTTCACAGAGCAACTTTGGATGGAAGAAGCACACAATGTGTGGCATCATTAGCTACAGTTGCTGGAGTTGTATGCAGGCTTCCTTGGCATGGCTCAGAACTTGGGCTGCGGGCTTTCTGCAAGGTGTCTTCCTGATAGAAGAGACATTTCTCATGTGGTATCTCCTCAACCCAGTGATAGGGAGCCATGGAAAGCACTTGAAGTAATCTCACCCATCTCACTCACAAGGGCTCCATTTGGTTCTGGGGCTGCTTTAGAAAAGTATTTCTTTTTATGTGCATCACTGTTGCCCACCATTTAAATCAAGAGCACGTCTGTGCATGTGTTGCAGTGGGCTCTGGATAAGTAGGGAAAACTGTTGGTCCTTTATGGAATGAGTTTTTTTTTAAATTTTGTATGGCTACTTGAAGGAAGGGATTGACAATCTGCTTGAGACCCACAGCCTAATTTCATGCAAAGTGAACCTCATTTTAAAACCCTTTGGAAGAGATCTGTTTGGATCTCTGGTGGAAGGTATGTGTGCCCTCCCTGAAGCCAGTGCATGAAAGATGAGAGAGTGTCAAAAAGAAAGAAAAGTTGGTATCAAGTTACTTTGAATTCTTGCCCCAAATACTGTTTTAGCCTTGACTACCACATGGCCTCCAGTACATTAATGGTGAGGTGGTCTGAGCTGTGACTGAAAACAAGTTAATCCACCCCTTATTACTCAAATAATTCTAATGTTAGTTAAAACTCTGAATAGATTTACTATTGTTTTAAATAACTGAAAAAGCAAATTTATCTTGAGTTTTTTATTTGTTCTAGAGAAAATATAAGTAGTAAAAATATCAAGATCAGCTATTCTACATATACTTTCCTTTTCAAAAGTATAGTATTCTTTTTTATACTTCCATCCTACTTTTCATCTAAGAAATCCAAGATGGCACCAATCAACAACCTAATGAGATATATAAGCCAAGGTTCTCCAACCTTTTGGCCCTAGGCATATTTGGAATTGTGAGAGCACGTTGTTTATGTTATAGCTACCTTGGCAATGTTGGTCATACCCTCAATCACTTTCCTGGTTTTATGTGCAATCACAAAGCAAAAAGTCAGATGGAGCATGGAACCTAGAGAGCCTTAAGGGTGGTGCCTTTAAATCTATTTTGTGGGCTTGAGTTCTAACTAAGAGGAGGTGATTGGCTTAAGGTTGCCTGTCTAATGTTATATCTGCAAGAAGACATAATATGCTTCCCTCCAGTCTTGGTATGATACTATAATACAGTGGCTCACAGGAGATTGTGATGTGTATTAAAGGTATGTCTCTCTTAAATACTTAAATCTTGGCACAAAATGTTACATAACATATAACTTAACTTTGTAATATCCTTAGGTTTTGCTTATCTGAAACCAGTTGCCCACAGGAAGATCACTTCCCACCAAATCTTTGTGTGAAAGTTAATGGAAAACCATGTAGCCTTCCTGTAAGTATCTCCCAAATTTGACTGCTTATAGTCTTCTCTTTCATAAAAAATAATCCATGTGGGAACTATCTAGGAAGTTTGTGGCATAATGAGATGGAGAATCCTTATAGTGGTCTTTGCATTCAGTGATGCATTTGTTGACATGCAGAAGTAACCTGAGCTATTCTATCTCTTCTGCTTACAGTTCTTTTGAGGCGAAGTCTCCTGGGAGTCAAGCTCAGTTTGACATTACAAACATGACCATTTAGTTTTTTTGACAATATGGAAGTGGTTACTATTCCTTTCTTCTAGAATTCTTTTTTTTTACTCCCCAGTCTAGCCTATAGCCCTGGGATGTCCTACTGGTCTCTCATCCTGTACAAACCAATCTCCTATGAGTTGTGCTCACCTCCTGGTGACTTCATGGACATGTTGAGTCTTTTTTTTGCAACTAAGTACAAAGGAAGCCTGATCCTGCTTAGCTTTTGAGCCTAGGCAAGGTGGGCCAGGTCATCTGTTTCAAACCCTCTTGTATATTAAGTGGGATTTGAAAAAAAGTAAATACACAGGACCTTTTTTTATATACAGGGAGTCCCTGGGTTAAGAACGCCTGGGTTACAGATGAGGCATAGTTAAGAACGGAGTCCATTATAGCAAAATTTGAGTTAAATACACAATGATTCGAGATCATTACGCAATACTACTTATACAGTGTTATGCAATAATACTGTTCCAGCTTACATACATATTCAACTTAAGGACAGACCTCGGGACCAGAACTTGTTCTTAAGCTGGGGACTACCTGTAATAGAAACATATTCCATTAAATAGTGCCTGAGAATTTACTTTCTCTTCTTCTTCCTTACTGTACTGGCTTTTTTGTAATGTGAAATGAACTGCTGGTCTTTGACTAGTTTAGTTATCTATCAATCTCTGTCAGCCTGTCTGATGATGGAAAGTTGGGCGTGTGTGCATCTCCACTTAACTCCATACCAGCAAGAGGGACATAATGCAAGGTCATGAAAAGGAAGACATTGCTTTACATTGTCATTATCGTAATGGTGACTTGAGTATGGTGTTTCAGGGCTACCTTCCTCCAACTAAAAACGGGGTTGAACCAAAGCGGCCAAGCAGACCAATCAACATCACATCGCTGGTGCGACTGTCCACAACAGTCCCAAACACAATTGTTGTCTCTTGGACTGCAGAAATAGGAAGAGTGAGTACAAAGCAAAATTGCTGGGAGAAGGGATGGTTACGTACATTCAATGAATCAAAACAGCTTTGCCAGAACGTAATGATTTCAAGAAATATTTGTGGGGCTTTTTATATACAGTGCATTCAGAAAGTATTCAGATCCCCTTCACTTTTTTCAATTTTGTTATGTC